AGCCTGGAGATTGTGTCTCCACTCTGGGCCTTCACAAGATCCATTCTCTCTCTCTCCATATAGATATGTGAGTGTATGTGAGTGTGCATGTGTGTTGAAACCTCTTCTACATGTAAGAACCCTGAGTCAGAGCCTACCTGAATGACCTCCAGCGTAGTTGAGCTGCCTTGCGAGGTACTGGAGCTTAGGACTTCAGATCAGCGCCTGATGATCCCCAGCGCCTGATGATCCCCAGCTTGCTGATGCCCCGTGTCGTCCAGCCCAGCCTCTGCTCCAAGCACCAAGCTCACAGGACTCTGCTCTGGTCTCTGTAGATTGGTTTGTCGTTTTATAAATAGAATTATCTGACTTGCTCTGTTCGTGTTTGGCTTCATTCCCTTGGCACGATTTTGAGGCTCTTCCATGTTGATTAACCTCACAAGCAATGTAATACTGCTTGTTTTTGAGTAATATTCCTCTGGATGGACATACCAGCTTGTTTTTCCATGTTTGATACAGCGGGATCTCTCAGTGTGGGGCTGTTCTAAAGAAACTGGTTCTCCACGTGGGTGTATTTTCATACATTTTAGGTAATCATGTGCATGTAACATATGTTAGCTATATGTTAAGACTGTGTTTTTGCTTCAGTATGCCCGGCAGATTTCCAAACCAGCTTTGTTGCCTTGCCTTTGCATCAGGGGTGTGTGTGTCACCTGCTGCTTTTCATTTAGCCAGCCCTTCACGCAGCGTTGAAAACCTTCTAGGTCTGAGTGTGTGTGTTTGTGTAACTCTGACATCAGCTTTCGTGGTTCTTCCATAAGGTTGACCAGTCTGGAGAGGAGTGCAGAAGCTCAGGGCTGGCCCCTGGGACGCCTGTGTTCCTATCACAGCAGCTGCTTGAGGCCTTGCTGCCTCACTTGCATACAGTTTCCTGCTAATGCGTATGAGGAGTGAGCAGACAATGGGCTAAGTCGTGAGGCTCCCACCTCCCACGTCACAGAACAAGGTGGAATTCTGGGCTCCTGGCTGCAGCAGTTGGTTCAGCCCTGGCTGTTGCAGCCAGTTAGGGAATGAGCCAGCAGAAGGATGATTCTCTCTCTTACTTACTCTCTTGTCTCTTCACTCAGTGAGTCCGTGCCTTTGTGTTCAGCTTCTGAATAGATAAATGTAAGCATTAAAAGCAGAAAAAGGATTCTTGTTGCCTTTTCATAATTACACCCTCCTGAATTTAAAGCTATTCAATAAATATTTGCTGAAGAGAGGGACGTTTTAGAGCAAGGGTTTTTTCTTATCATTTTTTTCTTGTTTGTTATTAACAATTGTTATCTGTTGAGCTCCTGCTCTAATGACAGCTCTGTAAATTCTTTGGCAACAACTTAGGATCTTCCAAGCCAGTGGAAGAAGACTAAAAGTAGCCCTACCCAGCAAGAGAAGAATATTCCTGCAAGAGTTAACATGTTCGTAAGTGACTAGGTGCCAGGCTGTTTTCAAGGCTCCTGGCACGTGATGCTTTGCGAGGGTTTCATAAGTGCTGTGGAAGGATGTTTCTAACATCTGAGACTTTTCCAGCGTGGAGAGCAAATTCCGGACACATTAAGCAGAGCCATCTCCAGGGCATGCAGCTGGTAACAGCAATCCGAGGCAGCAGGTTGGTGAGCTCCAACACTGCTCTGCCATCCTGTCACACAGAGGAAACAAAGCAAATCACAAGCCTGCATGGAGAGGTGCCTTACTGCCAACTTTCCTGCCTGTTTTTCCAAGTACAATTTTCCAAAGTGTTTTGCCCCCTCAAGTTTAATGATATGGCTTAAATGTTTGTGGAGTCATTTAAGAGAATATTTTTAAAGTAACAATTTTGTTGATGAGAGATAATTGGTGGAAAATACAGTTCTAGTAAAATTACTTTGAAAAGAGCTCTTTTCAAAAACTACAAGTACTCAAGATATTCTAGTAAGGTTTTAGAAAATAGGGTCTCTAGTTTATTTGAAGCAATAGGGCATACACCCACATATAAAGAAACAGATTACAGCATTTATTTAGGTAATTCAAGAAAAAAATCCTATTTTCTTTGTCTTCTTTGGACCTTTTTAGATTGGTATTTGTTTATAAGCCAGTCAGTTTTGAACTTAAGTTTTCCACTCAATGGGGAATTAAAAGACATAGCCAAAATAACATTTGGATTAGCTCTAACATTTGGATTAACTCATATTTGATAGATAGATTTTTATCACCCTTTGCAGTTTGATAGACTTTTATTTTTGCCTTGCTGACTTACATGTATCAGCAAAGTATGTTTAAATATAATTCTGTGTCACACTCACCTGCTGGCAACCACACACTCTGGACAGATCTGTGCTCACCAGATGTGATTGCTACTTTCAAACATTCCTGCACCCACCCCTGGTGCCAACCCCTTGACTTAACTGCTTCCTCGTGGCCAGTGTGTTCTCTTATTTCTCAGGCCAGTAGTTCCAAGGAAGTTATTTCTCACTTGAGACCCAGGATACACATACAGACTCATGTAATGGTGTGGTAGCCGAAGTGCTGCCTCATTGCTCAAAATAAAAGAGGATTTTTTTTGCAGTGGAATCTGGCAGGTCTTCAGCAAGTTTGTCTGCAAAGGGCCTGCAGTGAGCCCTGTATGTCCACAGGTCACAAGGTCTGTGTTCAGTGACTGCACTGTGCCCCTGCAGCCTCAAAGGACACAGGGAAATGCAGTTGTGCCAATACAACTTTGTTTGAGGACACTGACATATGAATTTTATGTAATTTTCCTCTGTCATGAATCATTCTTCTTCTTCTCATGTTTCTCAACCATTTCAAAAAGTGAAAGCATAATGGGCAAGAATTGTGCAATTGAAATTTTATGATTTCTAAAATTTGAAATCAACAAAGTTAAATCAACTTGATAATGGCATAGATTTACTCAAATACTGATTTTTGTTTTGTGAGGGATGCAGCGTTGCCAGAGCTGGTAATCCCAACCCTGGCTCCTGTCAGGTCTGAGTGAAGAGGCTCCTGTAAAAAGGCTCCAGCTCTTTCTGATAGAACTTGCCCAGGCAGTTACTCTGTCGAGTAGAGCAAGCTATGTGTGCTGTGTGTGGTGCACATGTGTGTTGCCACGTGGAGACAGCACCATAGCAGATAGCAGGGGAAGCCAGAGAAGTTGCCTGTTCTGCTGGCATTTACACCGCAATCCGCTGCAGTGTGACCAGGCTGCTCTGGGCTGAAGCCTTGGGTGAGAGTGGTGTGTGTGCCAACTCGCGATGACCTCCGTCAATGGCTTGGCGTGGCCCGGGGGTCTCTGGTCATGAAAGGGCTGTGGCCACTGCCGTCCTCTGCTGTTACTCCTCACATTGCCAGCCCAGGCCATGGGACCTTGCCCTGATGTCGAGCGCTCAGCATCCTTGTAGATCTGTGGGGATAGAACCCATTCCCACTCCCAGAAAGCCTGGGGAATGTTTTTGTGACCAGTGTGAGCTTCTGTTCTATTCTGGGTTTTCTTGGTTGTCAGATTTTAAGTGGAAATTGAATGATGCCCTCAGGACCACCAGGAGGTCGTTGTGTTCACACAGCTGGCCAATGGTGACCAGCAGCCACAGGGGTCCTGATGCATTCAACCACTGCGCCCAGGACCTCTGTGACTGTGATTGGCAGGTGGATTTTCATTTTAAAAGTCACCAATTCAGGGATCTGCCTCAGTAGCCTGGCAGCTAAGGTCCTCACCTTGCATGCACTGGGATCACATACAGGCAGCGGTTCATGTCCTGGCAACCCCACTTTCCATCCAGCTCCCTGCTTGTGGCCTGGGAAAACAGTCGAAGATGGTCTAAATCCTTGGGACCCTGCACTTGTGTGGGAGACTCAGAGGAGACTCTGGGCTCCTGGCTTTGGTTTGGCTCAGCTCTAGCCATTGCACTCACCTGGAGAGTGAATCATCAGACGGAAGATCTTCCTCTCTGTCTCCTCTCCTCTCTGTGTATCTGACTTTACAATAAAAATTAAATCTTTATTAAAAAAAGTCATCAATTTAAATTGTTGTACACTGAAGAAAATTCTTAAATTTTTAAACAATTAACATGTATCCGTAGTGAGAAGATGGCTACCTAAAAGGATGCGGATTATGTCTTGATTTCTTCCTAACCTGGCCGAACTCATCTAAATGCTTGGACTCCTACTTGAGTTGGGTTTTGCACTCCTTTCACCAAGCAGCGAGCACAATGCATTTCCCTGACTGCATGTCATTTGCTTTAAAAGGAGTGTTCATCCAGCTATCTCTGGTGATCTGGGCAATTTCCAGTTTCTTTCAATCTGTACACAGCATCTGCAAGCCGATTGCATCTGGCCTTTTCTGTTCTTAGTATTTCAGGGGCCCATATGCATTTTCTACAATTTAGAAGGAAAAAAAAGTTTTGAACTTTTTCCGGGCTCCTGACACGTATTGCTGGTTTGCTTTTGAAAGCTACATGTCCATTGATGGCGTTGGAGCCTTGTCCATGCCCTTCCACTGCTTCCTCGACGGGCTCTCACTGGTATCTCAAAGTGATGCCTCTCATTACTAAGAGTGTTGAGCACCTCTTGAGTAGCAGCCCTTTCTCTGAGTGAGGGATGCTACAGAGAGCACAGCAGTCCAGGTGGGCCCTGGGAAATGCACCTGCAGGCTGAGACTGCTTTGTGTAAGGAACCAAAGCACTCCCAGCAAAGCTCTGCTGACTGTGCTGATGGGGACACACTCCCAGGTCAGCAGTGCCCTTTCGAATGAGAAAGTGCACATGAAGCAGGGCCCTTGTGGAAACACAGGCCTGCGGACTGCAGCTTTTCAGGGCACGGTGCCCTGGGAGGTCTTGGTGTGTCCGTGAAGGCACTGTGGAAGGACCTGAGGACCCCTTGGGTCTATTGCTGCATTATAAGAAGCGCTGGGCTACACGTTAATTTCATTACCCTTTCATAGTGCAAGTTGAAAGATTTTTGAAAACACGATGTAAACTTGGCTGACGCACATGTTGATGTTTTTCTCAAAGGGCCCGTCTTGCTGGGAGGATGTCTTAGTGCCAAACCGGATGCGTGGGGAATGCCAGTCGCCAACCTGTTCTGGGACGAGAGCGGTAAGTTCCCTGGGTAACCTTCTTTGATTTCTTTTTAAAACAAGTCAATGATGAGCTGTGCAGTGATGACCGGAAACCTAGAGTGCAGACAGAAATGCCAGCTGAATTTTCTTGTGTTTAATGACTTTCTCTGTGAGTGTTATGATATTCAGAGGTGTTGGTAATGTTGGCAGTGCCCTCCGCTATCATTGCCCTGCCCTCTGGTCACTTCTGGTGATTGCTTGGAAATGCACAGTTTGGGCTCTTCCTAGAACGCTATTCATGGGATATAGAGGAGAGCCTGTGGACAGAAGAGTCAGTGCAGAGCCTCAGGAAAGAGAAATCTCAAAGATAAAGCAGTCCTCTTTCCCCACTGTCGTGCTATTTTATGTTGACACTCTCGCGTTGTTCACAAATTGCTTTCTCACTCTATCTCAACCCACTTTGCCCAAGCAGTTTTATGTCACAATTGACTTTTGGAAAGTGCTGTCAGGATAAGCAGCTGTCCTGAAGTCCATTCCTGGCTATCCATCTCCGTGCAAGCTTCAACTTGTATAGGTCTAATAGAGATAGAGCAGGCACCTCCTGCTCCACATAAATTTTAGAAGTAATTTTTTTGCTGTGATCCTGTTTGTTCCACCTTTTACCTCAAGAAATCCTTGGGTCCATCCTAATCTGTCTGTATTTCCTGGGATGTAGTAAGTACCATCAGGGCACCAACACAAACATTAATGCTTAGGGCACAGACTGTCACAGCCGGCTGTGGCTGGTATCTTCTCTGCAGAACAAGGTGTCAGAAGCAACAGGTGCAGTGTTTGATCCGGCATCATTAGACCCATCTCCTCTCCCCAGTCTGCTGGATGAAGGCAGGGCTACCCAGACAGCAGTGAACCAGATGAGGGGGCCGCTGACAAGCTATCTGTTAATGCAAATCACAAAGAAAAGTGATGGCTTGTAGGTCATTCACAGACATCAAGGCATCATGCAGTCTTGCAAGTCTACTGAGGTGAAACTGAAGTGCATACATTTTCCAAGGAAGGGGCCTCAAGTGTGAGCCTGTAGTGTACGTGTGGAAGCACATATAATGTGCACTCATGCATATGTAATTGCATATACCGTTGCCACTTTAGCTATGTTTCATAGCTTCTCCTTAAGCACATGTAATCGCCGATCCATCCATCTATGCGGAGTCTAGTGTGTGTAATATATTGTACTCCCTTGTCATCCTTACAGCAAGGTCCTTGAAAACTGACTTCAATCATTGACTATCTATGTTTGTCCTATACCCTAATGGTAATTGGCAGGATTAAGTCACAACAGAATATTCTGCCTCTTTCTGGATTTAACTTCAAGTTAGTCAGAGGGGATATCTGTGTCATATGATGTTGAAAAAACCATCTCCTTTGCAGAGTGCAGATTCACTTGACCTTTGACCTCCATGTAGTGAAGTCAGGATAAATTCAAGTGATGTTGCAAGTCTAGCAGCCTGGTGAATTGATCCCCATAAAAGTCATGACAGTTCATGCTATTTAAAAACACTGTATTTAATTACAAATCATATGTGCTTAAAAGATGGGCTATAATTGCAAGCTGTGACAAATACTCAGAGAAGGACAGACCCCTGAGCAGAATTTGTGTTAGTTGTCACACTGGGTCAACCACAGTCCAGCTGGGAATGGACAATGAGAGGGAGTACCCGGGGCACTGGTTTAAGCCAAAGGGCCTCTCCAGTGTGGAATGAGCTTCAAAGCCCACACAACGTCACAACCTCCACTGGATCAACTGAAGAGGAAGATAGTGGAAACCCTTGCCTATGTTGTTCTTAATTTGGTAATGACAAAAAAATATGAATCATAAAAATTTGTAAACACGAACTCATCTTTGCCTGGGTTCGGGGTGATATTCACACATCCTTTATGATGGCTGGTCAGGCTCCAGATCTGGACTGTTACATGACAGTTCCGAGTTGATAATAACCCATGCATGGCCACAGCTGGTCCAGATCCTCCAGGAGGCCTGTGCTTCCCAACAAATGGCCACAACTGATCCAGACCCTTCAGGAGATCTGTGCTCACCAGCAAGTCCTCAAACATTTACTATCAGTAATATTCCATGAAGGGTGAAGTAATAGTCGTAAAAACAACACAACATATTCATATTGTGGAAGCAAGCCACCATGAGTGAGAATGCAGAATTTCAACCTGGATGGAATCTAGAAACTAGCATGGGGAGAATAAGCATGCTTAGTAATGGAAGTGCATGTAGAAAACTATTAAAAACCAAGACTATCTGAAAGAAATGTCACGTACACCCCTGAGCGGGATACATGAGCAATCCAGAATAGGAATCATAGTACACCCTGTAACACAGATGCTTCTCCAAGTGATATTGCTCAGCAAAAGAAATCAGACAAGAACAATACATAATACATGACTCTGGGGGGTATGAAATTCCAGAGAACAAAAACCAGTGGCAACAGCAAACAACAGCAACCTAGGGAGAGAAGTAGGCATGCCAAGGGGCATTGAAAGGGGCTTTGAAGGGACACCTTGGGGTGATCTCTGCTGCATTGTCCTGAGGTGCTATCTTCACATTTGAGTATGAGTTCATTAAAGAAACCTCAGCACCAGCATCTGTGAAGCCAGGGTTTTTCACATCATAATTCAAACCTAAAGGGTCTTCTGGAAGGCCATGTGTAGGACCAGGCTCGCTTGACATCCTGAGAACCCTGTCACAGCAGAGCCATGCCCCCTCGCCCAGGCACAGCCATGGGCGCCTTGCCAGGTCCCAGGATGCAACTTCCCTGCAAACTGCAGAGGTAATGCAGTCACCCTTAGGAGCAAGGCGGTCCTGCCCGATGCTCCTCTGCCAGTATATACCACCACCCTCACCGTAAGAAGGTGTCCTAAGGTCTGACCTCCAGCATCCTTCTCGAGTCCTTTAGAGGCCCTGCCTTCCATAGTAGCCACCCATGACTGACTCAGGCCCTTGGCATTGCGTGGCCCCTCCCTGCCTCCACGCTGGCATTCCTGCTGTCAGCCTTACCTGGCAGAACCTTCAGTGAAAAGTGATCAAAAGAAGGCCTTTGTGGTCACACGGTCCAAAGCTTAACTAGGCACCTGGTTTTGGGGTAGATTCCTTGGTGATTGAGCTGTGCCATGACCACTGTTTTTGTTTTGTTTTGTTTTTGATTTTTTTTAAAGGCCACTGTCTGCTTTGCCTCCCAAGTGGGAACACTTTTTTCCCCCTAAGCAAGCACAAGGAGGCAGCTTAAGGAGTCCTCATGTTTATGGCACTCCCAAAGCCATAACTCAGGTGCACATTTACCAAGCACATCCAACACTGGGCTGTGCCCAGGAGGCCTTGTCAGGAATGTGGATGTCCTGGTGACAAGTTGAGCAGAGGCAGGCAAGAAGTTTCCCTACTTGGTCTACTCCCACAGGCTTCCCTGCAGTGGACACACCTGCTGATGGGGGCACGAGTCACAGGTTGAAAGATTCAGGCCTCATCTGCACTTGCAGGCTTTGTGGTGGTGGCATCCTCCAGTGCTGTTGGAGTGGAGCTTCCCTCCAGGTTCACTCCTGTATGCCTACACGAGTCTTTCTCCTTCCTAAGGTACCAAGAGCTCTGTTTCCAGGCTCCCTCACATTTGTTCTCTGGAACTTCCTGGTGCCAAGTGCAGAGTGGAATTTGAAGGAATGCAGTATCCTATTGCCACTGCATAGCTATGTTTTTCCCTGGTGCCTTATTCCTCATGTGGGATTTCCTCCCTTGTGAGTTTTCTGTCAGCAAACAGGATCTGCTCCTTTCTTCTCAAAAGTCTTTCCAAACACAGTCGATGTATGGGTTCAAAGCTGGGACTCCTTTGACTAAGGTCCAAGTCCTTGCCATCCAGCACACGGGCCTCTCACTGTGCTCCAGTTGTGTCATACCTTGGAGTCGTGGCTGATTTCCAGGGAGGGCACAAGGACACAGTTTTCCAGCATGCGGTCTGATCACTGCCCTTTCTTCCCTGTAGAAGTGCCCAGCCTTGTGTCCCAGGCCCATGGTAGGCCTGGAAGACCACCTTCCAGTACATCATTACCAGCATCTTCACTGGATGCCCAGGCCTAAGTCCTTCCAGAAGGTCTCCCTGCAACCTCTTGGGAAACAATACCAGGCCTAGTGATGGGGCGTCAGGCTTGGCACTTTAGTATATCCTGAAGTTAAAGAAGCATTCACAGCAGCCCACGTGCCTTCCTGGAGATTAAAAAAAAAAAAAAGCTAAATGTAGAATTAGTAGAGAAAAAAAAGGAATGAGGCTGAAAGAATTGAGGAAGAGTGAAGTATAGGGAAACAGCACACACACAGGATGACACAACTGAAACCCTGTGACCTGGGATGTAGTGAAATATCAACATGCTGGTACTCAGTAGAGAATCCAGATCTCTGCAGGTTACAGAAGACACCTAAATTGTGTGAGATCAAAAACATGTCCCATCAAAGAATGAAGAGCAATATAAAAAAATACCAAAAAGAATGTTCTCTACATTTTCACTAAGCGTTCAGTAATCCAAGATAGCAAATGTCAGTAACATGGATTCAAAATAGGAGTCACTGTCAGAATAGGTGAATGATGTGCAAATGCATCCCTGTGCCTGGAGAGAGAGACAGGGCTTGGGGAGGGAGATGTGCTGCAGGGTAAGCCCACGAGGGACCAGAGGGAGCTGGCGCCATGGAGACCTCTGCCGCCTCCAGGAAGCCCAGCCTTTGGCAGCATGCAGGACACATTCGACCAGTTGATCATGCTGTTAGGATAGGAAGGAATTTAGATATTCCCAGCACGAATATAATTCTGAAAACCAATCCCACACAGAAATTTTAACTGCTGAATGAACAAGAAGATCCACAAGGAAGTAAGAAACCAAGTGACAAATACACCACACACCAGATAATGTAGGATGCAGCTGAATTCACAGTTAAACAACAAAGTTTAGACCCATAAGCAATCACTTTGTTTAGAAAAGTGGGAGGAGGGGCTA